CCTCCCACGCTCTTCTGGGGAGCTAAGAAAATGCTTATCTCCCTGAGCCTGGCCTTCATAATTCCATTCCATCACATTATTCAAACAACCACTTCCCATTTGCATGATGCAGCTCTAAAGCAGCCCATCCAACCAAAAAGCACCACGTGGCCGCTTTCTTCCTCTTTGAGACTCTTCAGACGTGGGTAGCCAGATGTTATTCAAACCCTCTACCAAGATTTGAACTCATGGATCTTTGCGCTTTAGTTGACTACACGCAGTGCATTAAGCGTAAGCAGCTATCCAGGTCCTAGCACCCAGCAGTTTGCTGGAAGGGATATCTAGAAGCTATCCAAATGGTATACAGAGTCCACTTTCCCTTAAGTGCTCAGGGCAGAGAGATACAGAGGTTATATTATATCATGACCCCATGTAAGGGACTTTTATGCTTTTGTATGACTTTCACCCCATCCCCCCGCCCCAAAGCTCTTTGAATTAAGCTCAACTCCTGACAATGTCATGGGCACCTCCACAGAGTTCTTCCTGGTCATTGACCATCATTAAATAAAGTTGATTTTTTTATCCATATTGGGTCAGTGCAGAAGTGCCTTTTCTGGGATGTTGCTTTCATGCTTCCCAGTCTAGCGCACAGCCCTGGGACTTCCTGACAGTCCTGTATCCAAGTACTAACCAGATATATCCCTGCTTAGCTTTTTGAGCCAGGTTTGGTAAGTGCTGCCTTCAGCCTTCCCTACAGCTTCCATTTTTCCCACATAGCATGGCTGTGGGCCACCTTCTTATAGTTCTAAAGGTAAAAGATGGTCATAGAAAGGACTCTCTTCTAATCCTTCCACATCGTATCAATGAAGTTCCAATCTATCTAAATGCCACCAGAACAGCAAGAACTCCATTCCTTTGCTAAGTAATTTCCAGCGCCATGAAACAGGACTTTCATCTCTGTCATCTTGTGTTCCTTCTTTGGGGGGAAAATGTTCCTCTGCCAGGACAGGGCCAACATCCAATTTTTAGGACTGAATTTTCGGCAAGATGATGAGCTGGAAATTCAGTTTTCCACAGAAGGGAAAGGCTGAAAGGCTGGGAGGAGGATGTGGTACACAAAAAATGAGGCTTTGCTTTTCTTTATCCGACCTCAGCTGCCTTCTTTTTTCATCTGAGATTCTGCAAGCTGGAACCAAACTGGAGAGAAGGTTCATAGTTGCACAGTCAATTCCCTCCTTCATTTTTCTTCTCTCATTACCACCCTACTGCTGCTTGTCTGAGATCCAAATTCCAAGACCCATGTTTTTAGCAAACAGTGTCACTCTGGTTTAAGGCCTGGTAACTATACTATGCTATCAATGACCAGTACCTCTCCTCATGAAGCAGTTGACAAGCATCGTCTGCCAAATTCATCAAGGACTTCTTCATCTCTTTTTGCAGCTCCTCATAAGTGACCTGAGCTTCATCCAGGTACTTCATCCAGTTCTGATTAACAGGTAGGTAAGAAACCCCCATTTCTAGCATACCTGCAAAAGTCACAGGATGTGGACACCTGATAGGGAATAAGAGAAATGAGGAGCTAACCCAAAGTGGAAAACCGAAAGCTGGTAGATGATGGACGATGCTGCCTACATGGAACGTATCTGATAACCTTACAAGCAAGGAGAGTTTTTAACAACCTATCACACCAAGTAAAATCAATGGACAAAATCTAGGATGGTCCTCTATAGAGTAAACCTGGAGTGGCTTCAAAGGCTGGGTTTTCACTGCCTCTTTCACCTAGGCATCCTCAAATGTATCTTTTTTCCCCCATATAAAAACCATGGTTGCTATTCATTTTCATGGAGAATAAGTAAGTGCTTTATTAAAGATGAATGATTACTGTTTTAGCAAAAGCCAAACATTTCACTTCTAAATACCGGTGGAGAGCATTTGAGGCCAACCATTTCTTAGAAGCTATGTCTCTCCACCCCCATCACTGCTCATAAAGATTCTTGCAATGAATGCTCTTTCTCTTCTCACTTTTGCTGCCCACCATGGCAAGAATTCTACTAGTAGAACCTGTTAGGAGGTTTGATGTAACTATTTTGCCTCAATTTTCCAACACACATGGGGAAATTTACTTCATTTTAATTAATTTATAACTTTCCTATTCCACTTTATCATTGCAAACCAATGCCCAAATAGGTTTGCAGTTCTTAATTGATGAACCAGTTTAGTTCATTAATGAAGATCAACTATTGGGAAATTGTGCACATATTTCCCATCCAAAACATGAAGGAATGTCATGTAATGTAGTCCTTCTTTTCTCTCTCCTATAGGATAGCATCACTGATGGTTCTGCAGCATCATTTTTACCACCATACAAGTAGTAAAGTAGGACCAGGTAAATTTACCAATATTTTCCCCAAATAGTTGAGAAACTAAACTGTGCTAACTCCTTGCGCTATACAAAGTCAACCTAAGATTTGTAGCTAACCCAGAACATCAGAGTCGCATCTTCAACACATTTTCACCCAACGAACAATTCACCTTTTCAAGAAAAGAGGAAGCTGCTCCTGGAATACTTCATAAGTAGCCTGAACATCAAGGGCACAGTAATTCATCAGCTCCTTTGAACAAAGGGAAACATAAGGGATGGAAAATTATTCAAAGTTAGACCATAAGCCACTTGCTAATCTACCCTAAAATCACCTCCTGATTAGTGAGGAGTTGAGCTCTTTGTTTAATGCAAATACCTTTCTTGGGCCCTACTACCTGAAACTCTGTTCTCAGAGAGAGAGATTCCAAAGATTCTCTTCCCACCTGGAAGTTATTCCTGATATCATCCATACTGCCCTTGATAAAGAATTCACGCGCTTCTTTCTGCAATGCCTGGCCTCCAACATAGAGGGAATGTACATCTGCCAGGTTGTTGATGCTGCTAATGTTCACCCAGTTCCAGGAGGCAATCTGCAAGGAAGAACAGCAAAAGAAACATAAGGAACTAATCTATAGATTAAAAACCATGAGGAGAGAAGGTAGAGTCGTTGGGAGTTGGAGAACATATTAATTTAATAAATAATAAAAACACAACCATCCACTCAGGTCATCATGGCCCATTTCTCCCCTATAGCTTTAACCCTCAGAATTAAATAACCAGATTAACTCCCTTGCAAACACAGAGGAAATGGAGAATATCAACAGTATTCAAGATGGGCAGTCCTATTTGTGAATGTTCCTCTCCCGTTTAAAATAAAACTTGCAGGAAAAAAATAAAAGGGAAACATTTTCCAAGAGAGACTTTAAAAGAAGTAGGCAGACTTGAACTAAATGTGATCTTTACACGTAAAAAAGGGGGCAGATTTCAATCAGGTGATTGCCATCCTGACTATTTTCATATTCTCCTTCTGTGGACACCCCTGCATGCAGGTAAAAAAATTAATTCATTTTTTGGGGGTTGTTTTACTCTAGCTAGGTATTCTAATGCTCGCGTGGGCTTGTTACAGTTAAGTATGGTTAAGTATGTAACTTAAGTATACAGGATGCAACATACTTAACCGGGACTGGTAGAGATCAAGTAGATGCCTTCAGACAATGAACTAAGCTCAGTTAATATTAACCCTGGTTATGTCTTTTGTGGCTTAGCTCGTTGTACAGACTCATCCCATTTCAATATATTATGCAAACCCAGAAAACAAATGTCTTCAATAACTATGTAAATGTGTGAATGCAACTGAGCCATTTCTTGTTTAGGTGGTGTCACCTCCTGCAAGTCTTCTTGGGACCTTTTTAGGGAAACAAAGGATAACTGCCATGGACCCTATTTGCAGAATAAGGTTTAGGACTGAAAACAACCCTGTGGACTGAGCCCTTTTATTCTAGTCGATAGAACGAATCCGTTAAGCTACAAACGACAACCCTGTAAATTATGTTACTATTGGGGGTTTAGCCATACAGCCCTGTTTCTTGGCTCACGGACTTCAATGGAAAGAATGAGAAAAAACGGACGGATCGACAGAAGTTGCATTAAGAAGAAGGGGATTCCAAAGAATGCTCGGCCGCCAGACTTCTGAGTCTTAAAACAGCGGCTGCAAAGAATTTGATTACATCCAGCAAAGGAAAAACTCTGAATGCAACGGCTCGTCCAAAAACGCACTGCCTGCACCCCTTTCAGAGTTATGTCCCTTGCACTGGGCCTGCTTTGAGGTCCAGCTGCACCAAGAATGCACCTAATGCCTCAGGTCAGAGCCCAGAGTCAGGATGCTCTGCTGCAGAAGCAATTGGACCCTGATCCCTACCGCACCCACTTACCATGGGTCCCTTCTCTTTGCTGTGGGTCTTCTTGATGTGTCGCTGGACCTGTTGCTGCCCTTTGCCCTTGCCCTGCTTGGCTGCCTTCCAAAGGCTGCGCTGGAAGCCGGTCAGTCCTGAGATAGCCATGTGCATGCTCATCGTGTCCAGGAATCGCATTTGGGATCCCTGAAAGAGTTGTTGGAAAGGTCAAAGGGAGCATCTCTCAGATGCCACCTTACAAACCAACGTGGATTGGAACATCAGATGTACGATGTGGCCAGCCCACATCTAATTCAACAACGGTATTGTACATTCGGGTTCCTGAATGCTGCAACAGCCAGGTTCAAAGAAATCTCCACCATAAACCCTGGTTCAACAGACCACAGTAGCTGAGGCCAACCCCAACTAACCCATCATTAACCCACATGAGGGCAAAGTATTGCGTATGAACCCAGCCTCCAGCAGGAGTCCACCAGGTTTTTCTGGAAGGATCCCAGCCAGGCCATAGCTTAGAACTGATGGGATTCTGGTCCCTCGGTTTGGGCCAGAGCAAGGCGGGTCTTGATGTCCCGGCTGCCGATTCTCCTTTGAAAAGTAACACCGGAGTAGAAAGGGGAGGGAAGAGATTCAAAAACAGGAAGAGATGCGTTTACGTGATACCTTCCACTTTTTCCTTGCAGCTTTTTTTCTGCTTTGCGATGGACAGACAGCAGGAAAAGTGGCAGAAAAGGGAGTTGCACAGGGAAAGTAGCTAGTAAGAAAAAAATAAGCATCTCTCTTATTGGTTTCTTAGCCTCCCCTCCCTTCAGTATTACTTTTCTGCTCTGTGCTATGCTGCTGAGAAGCGTTTATTTTCACATGGGGGCCCCTGTGACAAAGCCTTTTTAGCACTGGCCCCTTCTATAAAACATCTTGTCCTCACACATCCAGACCACCCCCCCACCACCAAATTTTCACAGGACTCTTAAAGCATAGCTGCCTGTTAGTGCATTTGGAGGATGTTAAGATCTGCCCTGCCCCTGGACGGATGGTGCTGTTCTCTCATTTATTTTCATTCAAGGTTACCCAATTACAATTCTATCGTTTTTTTTTCCTTTCTGCTCAGGGCCCGCAGAAATGGACTGGCATTGAAATATTAATTTCAATATACATACAAAGAAACAAAAGCCATGTGTCCCTTGTTTATTATACTTTCCTAAAAGTTATGGCTTGTGGCTGTGATAACAAATTGAGTCTGACCCCTGGTGAATTCATGGACTGGGAAATTAAAATCTTTCTCTCTCTCTCTCTTCCAGAGGAAGTTTGCTATTGCCAAGAAAACTACCTAGATAACAAAGTTCTTCTCTGATGATAATGATGATGATTTTCCCAGTCCAGCCTACAGCCCTAGAATCTCCTGGTGGTCTCCCATCCAAATACAAACCAGACCTGACCCCACTTAACTTTTCAAGATCAGCCAAGCTACCCATTGCCACAACCCTTTTCTCCTTCAAGCCACCATGAGAATCGTGCAGAGGAGAAGAATACAAGTTGAAGAAATGGAGAGTGATGTCTTGCCTGGATCAGGTATTGTTCCTTAACGTGAGCACGGTCAAAGGAGACGTTGTGGCCGACCACCAGCCTCTCCACCCCATTCTGCTTTTTGAGGCTGCTGCTGTTTTCCAGGGGGATGAGATCAGACAGACCCAGCTGGCTAGACCAGCTATAGCGTTGTTCTAGCAAACGTTTGCTGCACCACGAATACCTGTGAACCAGAACAGATCCCTTTTTACTATACTCAGCCGTTGGGTCCCCAAAGCAGAGTTTCCAAACGGTGGTACATTTACACAAAGCGACACTCAGAAGTCATCTAGGCAGGACAGAGGAGAAGTCACTGAAATTTTAAGTCAGTCTGTAACATTGAACTATCAATGCTAAGTACAATAATCAATGCTATTGTTGTACACCGCCCAGAGTTACTTTGTCTAAGATGGGTGGCTATATAAACACAATTAATAATAAATAAGTAACTTAATGCCTGTAAACATATAAATGCCCTTCTTAGGAAGAATGGGGGTTTTGTTTCTATCAGAGTAGGATTCAGGATGTTTGACAGAAAGATTGGGGGGGGGGGCTTAGGATATGAAAACTGAAGACTCACCAAGCTAAAACACTGTTACTAATGCATGAGGGGGTATTGTGACTCACTTTCTTTTTGGATCTGCCTTTTTTCTTTTTAATAATTTCAGAAAAAAAGAAACCTGCAGAGCAAAGATAACAAATGAATTCAATCCGGAGCACCTCTGTGAAACTCGCCCCAACTTTTGGTATTTCAACATCCACTTCAATTTCAACTGCTTTTTTTTTAAGGTGATAATCCAAAACATACTTACTAATGAAAAAAGTCTTAGTAAATCAAGAAGGAGATTCTTCTGAGTGAACAAGGTCTAATTCAAATTATAACTCTTCTTAACTCTACAGTAAACTTTGAATTGTAAGCACATTATCTAAGGCTTGGTTCTGACACGGCTCTAAATGATAGCTTTTTCCATTTTGGTTTAGCGTGTTGTGTGGAACCTGCCAAGGTTGGGGTGCAAACTACGGCTGTGCAAGTCTAACAACTGTGGCTTACCTAATAAACCTTGGTTTCTTTTTACACTGCAAAGATTCTCAGACCAGAGTTGGTGCAATCAAACAAGAGGATCCAAAAATGTGATAGGGAAAAAAGTTAGTTTGGAATTAGAGGTTGTGATTCTTTCTTTTTTCTCAAAGCTGATAAACTTATGACTCATTTTTTCCAGATGCTTTCAAAAGCTGGAGCACAGGAAAAAAAAATTCAATAAGTGAAGCCTGACCACCCAACAAATCAGAAAAAATTCTATTTGTAGAATCTCTGCTTAGCATAAAGCTCTTAAAGGCAGACAGGACAGCTGACACACTATTCAACATTTAATAGGAACAAGAACAGGATCCTAATACCCAAGAACTTCACTCTAATTCCAGAATGCTCCACTTCTTACCAAGCATTTGATGAAAGAGCTACTGCAAGTGTGGGGCAATGTCCTTCTTCCATGCACACCTCCACGTCAAAGACCACGGCTCGCTCGTCAGGGAAATCCACTGTTCTCCTCTCCCCACCAGGTCCATACCGGGTCCATCCTTCTTCCCAAGCCCATTCTGTGGGCATTGGTGGGATGTCATGCTGGATAAGCTCCTTAGCAGCCTCCAGATAGGGGAGGCTCTGCTTCTGGGCCAAGATGCAGAAGTGTTCATCTATGTTGGCTCCATACATCTGGGGAAGCTGCAACTCCACATCAGGAATGGTGGATGTTTCTTTGCCCCATAGGTCATGTTTCTCCAAGTGTTCTATGCTCTTCTGAATGTCTTCATCTGCATAATGTACTTGAGCACCCCGGAAAATCTGTTCATGAAGACCCTTCGAGAGCATCTGGATGCCAAGAGGATTCACGCGCTGCTCTTTGAGGGGAGCACCGGTATCTGGAGCCACCTTCTCCTGAAGCTGGAGACCTGCAGAGGAACCAGATGAGCACGCCCGGGTTCTGCACAGGAAGGACGGACCTGCTAGTGGGATTCTCCATACCAGGCGTTTCATCTTCACCAGGAGCAAGCGGGATCGGGAACAAGCCTGATTTCCCGGCTAGCTCAGATCTGTCAGGAAACAGCATGCACTAGAATTAAGGTTCATGTGAATATTTTCCATGCCAGCATCCCACATGCTGGTCACATTGCCTTACTAGGAGACAATAAACCATGATTTCTTATCACAACTTGCTGAACAAGCCATAAGAGCCAAGTTTACTCAACACACTGCTCCATTAATCATACCTATGTTTCCCCTCCCCCTTTCTAAAAAGTAGTTTTTCCTTCCTAAGTAACAAACTCTAATTGCCTCCTCCAACAAAACCAGGTTATCCTCACATCCCCAAAGGATACCCCCTCCCCACAATTGATCTCATCTTCCTCTCCTCTAAAGGATTAATTGAATGCCTTTGCCTTCTCACGGGGCTTTAAAGAAAAGACCCCCCAATCTATAGGCCGTATTCATACAAAACATTTGAAACCAAGCCAGCTAAAAACCAAACAAACGCACTTATGCAAACTGCCGTGCTTGCTTAACACTAACCGTGGTTCTGTGGCTTAGCACGCTGGGCAAACCCAGCCAGCTTGGTTAGTTCAGTGCTGAATGAATCATGCATCTTCAGAAAATGGGTTAATGCAGAACCCGGGTTTAGTGGTGGGTTAATGCAAAACCCAGGTTAAGCATGTCGTGTGAATGCACTCATTCTTCCTTTCTCTCTCTCTCTCTCTCTCTGACCACCCTTTTTTCTCCCCCCCCCAAAAAAGGGTATTTAAGCCTATCTCTCCCCCAAGTTTTGCTAATCCTTGTCCCCACCCAAGGAAATGGGTGCATGCTCACCACGCACCCCCAAAGAAACCTGCCTTCCTCCTTCCCCCGCGAAAAAAGATGCAGGAAGAGAAGAAGCTCCCCCCCACGGCCCTGCCCCCTTCCGGGGTGCAGAAAGCCCCAAACCTCCCAAGCTCGCTCCCCGCCGCCTTCCAGCCTCTGCAACGCTCAAGGCGAATCTGCTTCTGCTCCAACTCAGGCGGACTCTTCCAAAGCGTGGGGGGGTGAGGATGAGAGAAAGCGAAACCAGAAGCTCTTTTTAAGCTCCGAAGACTCCCCAGGCAGCGAGAGTGCCCCAAAGTGCAAACTCCGAAAAGAAAAACGAGGCTGAGGACAAGCACATCACAGTCGAGAAGCTTCCTTGGGTTCTCTTCCTCCGGAGACCTCCCCCCGCCGCGGATGGAAAATGGTACCTTCCAAAATCGGTCGGCGCCACGGCTGCAACGGCGTCCTGCTGCAACTTCTTATAGGGCTGGCGCAGCCCATGTTTCAGGGTGGCCGCGTGGCCTAATGGATAAGGCGTCTGACTTCGGATCAGAAGATTGCAGGTTCGAGTCCTGCCGCGGTCGCAAAGAAAAGGAGTTACGGGGAACTCCTTCCTTTTAATGACGGAGCTTAGGAAACATTAATCTTTATTATTGTACTGTTCATTTTAATGGTAGAGCATGTTAATTTCAGTTACGAAGAACCCCTCTGCCTTCCTCCATTCTATCTGTAAACTTTACTTTAGCCTGGGCTTGCTCAGAGGGCTCCTAAACCTTGCTAGCCTAAGGATGACTTCTTTGGGCAAGCAATTTTCTTTTAGATTTCTTTTTTAACCCCACCTTTACTATTTTTCTAAATAACTCCAGGTGTCGAACATACCTCATACGCCTTCCTCCTCCTATTTTCCCCACAACAACAACCCTGTGAGGTGGGTGGGTCTGAAAGAGAGGGACTGGCCCAAAATCACCCGGCCGGCTCTCCTGCCTATTCAAGGCTTTTCAAAGGCAGAAAGGGGCTGACTGGGTTCTCGCAGCCTGCTAAACCCAGGCAGCAAAGGCTTTCTACAAGCTGCATCACGGCTTATCGTGATGGCCTAGTTCACAATGCCAGTTAAGGTAACGGGCTGGCAGCCCCCAACTCCATTGGGGCATATTGGGAGATTGTCACCCCCCGAGGAATGGAGGAAAGCGGAATTTGCAGAATTTCCACAGGACGGGACCCCGGCACCCTGTTCGAAGTCTTACGGATCAGCCCATGCCCAGGATGTTGTATCAGCTAAACCAGCATTGTTCAAACTTGGCCACTTTAGGACGGGTGGACTTCAACTCCCAGAATTCCCCAGCCAGCTTTGCTGGCTGGGGAATTCTGGG